GTAAAATTTAGTATTGTAATTTTTAGATTTAGGAGTACTTTTGTACGAAAGGGCATGTCCCGTTATGTTTCAAATAAATAAATAAATAAATTATTAAATAATAATTTAATTTATTAAAAAGAAATTTAATTTTGAACTAATAGCAAAAATAAATTTTCTAAACCAAAAGGATCGTAACATTTTTATGTGAACATAAAAAATTGTCAGAGGTTACTGCACCATCATTCTTTTTTTTTCTTTTTCTTTAAATATTCGTCGGGTGCTTCCAGTGACTCTCATGTACGTGTATATATATATATATATATATATATACGTATATAACTATTATACACATGTAACATCGTAATAGTTTTTTTTTTATCTCGTGATAAGCAAGGGTAAAGTTATAAATTTTTTGAAATTTTTTTTTTAAATGTAATTCTCGTGTTTAAAGTCATGTAAAAATTATTTCCTTTTTAAATAATAATAAATTTAACGCCATTTAATTAAATTTATTAATTATTAAATTTAATTAATTAATTTACTAATTAATAAATTATTGTTAATTAATTAATTTATTTATTAATTAATAATTTAATAACAATAATTGTACCAATTTATTAATAATTTTTAAAATAATAATTATTATTAATAAATTATTTATAAATAAATATTATTGTTAATAAATTATTAATTAATTAATATTAATAAATTATTATCTAAAAATCATTACTAAATTATTAATTAATTATTTTATCTAATTTTAAATTAACTCTAATTTTTTTAATAAAAAATTATAACATTATTTAAACAATTAATTTTGCAATTTTTTGTATTTAGAAATTTTTTTTTTTTTCACCATTAAATTTTGGACAACTTTCTCTATAAAATATTAAAAAAAATAAAATAAAATTATTATTTTTTTTGAAAAATTTTTTTTTTTTTGATAAATTGCATGCCACATGCAAAAGTTGTTGAAGCATTTAATTTTGATAATGGAGTGAAAGCAAAAAAAAAAAAAAATAAATAAAAAAATTAGGACTTCAGAGGAGGGAAAAAAAAATCGAACTTAGAACGTTGCTTGCGTGATTAAGAGAGCACAGGTCATTAAACTCGAATGTGATAATGCGAAACCGACACTAAACGAATTTCAAAGCGTCAAATATTAAGTACATACAATAATAATAATAATAATAATAAAAGGAAAGGGAAACGTAAAGAAAATAATAATAATAATAATAATAAAAGTGATGACACACAAAACGTTTAATATCACCCACGAAAAATCAACAGAAATTTAATTTACCTTATTTTATATTATTGCATCTAAGGTCAAGTGTAAAGAAAAGACAATCGTTTAATTAAATGTGTGGTAAAAATTCAAATTTTAATAAAAAATAAAATTTTTTTTTTTTCAAAAAGAATTTATAAAATTTTATTTTTTTTTAGAAATGGAATTTATAAAATTTTATTTTTTTAAAGAAAATATAGGTATAATTAATAAAATTTTTAATTTTTTTTTATAAAATTTTTTTTTTTTTTTTTGCCATTTTGAAATTTTTTAAAAAACATTTCATATTCCATAAAGCTTGGATAGTACAAAACGCGATATTTCCAGGTTAGCAGCTAATATATATACTTTATATTGCAATCTTCGCAAAAAATGTTTCTTTAACAAAAAAAAAAAAAAAACTAAAAATTTCGTGTTTTTCGTCAAAATATAATGGTCACAACTTTTTTAAATTTTATTTTTTTTTTTTTTGCAAAAAAAAATAGGCTTTAGGAATGGTTCTGGTCAAATTTTTGACACACGTGAATATATGTATATATTAATGTAATATAATATATATATATATATAATAAAAATAAATATAAAATATATTATATATTATATATATATATATAAATTATTATTATATTATTATTATATATTAAATATATAATATATTATATAAATATAATATAAAAACATATATAATAAAATTCAAAGTCACTGTTCTCTGTATACAGAGAACAGTGACTTTGAATTTTTGATAAAAAAAAAATCTATGTCCTTCCCGTCCTTAAAGGGGTTTTAACATAATATTTATTAATATTATCACAAATTTTATTATTCAGATTTAATGTACAAAAAAAGTTGCTGCTTTTAAAATATAATTATTTAACAATTTTTTTTTTCATATTTATAAAATTTTGTAATCAATAAAGCAAAATTTTTTTTTTTTTGAGGTTAGTTTTCTAGAAAGTTAAATATTGAGGAAAATATAAACATATACAATTTTGTGTCTACTGTATCAGTTTCTATATATATATATATATATATATATATATATATATATATATATATATTTAAATTAATTTACTAGTGATATTTAATTCAATATTATTATTTTTATAGTTATTATCATTTTTTTAATAGCGAAAAGTAAAGTGGAAATCTGTTACACCAAGGAGGAACAACTCCACGGATTATTATTATTATTATTATTATTATTATTATTATTATTATTACAGTATATAATAAAAAATATATTCTAAAAAAATAAGAAATAAATTTTTTTTTATTTATAAAATTAAAAAAAAATATATATATCCATGTGGTAAGTTGAGGTTATGTTTATTGAAAATTAAATTCATATGTTTTTTGAAAATTTTAAATTCGTTCGTTACTAATTAATCTCTAAGGAAAATTTGTTGCCAACCAAAAAAAATAAATAAATAAAAAAAGAATGTTGAACAATTGAATCCCGATATAAATTCGTAATTATTGTTGGTTAATAATAAAAATCCTCTTTTCTTGAATGATGATGAATAATAATTAAATGAATTGAAAGGAAAAGGAAATGTTGGATATACTCTTCTTGAAGTTAAATAAATTTTTTAATTTCGTTTGATGCCAGTTGTTAAATCGTCATAACGCTTCTCCAATATAGGGTAAAAGGTACAGTGACCGACACCCAGACAGTGAACGACACCTGCTATTAAAAACGATAATAACTATAAAAATAATAATATTGAATTAAATATCACTAGTACATTAATTAATATACAATATTTAAAAACTTATACAGTTTATACAAAATTTTATATGTTTATATTTTCCTCAATATTTAATACTTTCTAGAAAACTAACCTCAAAAAATTTGATTTATTGATTACAAATTTTATAAATATGAAAAAATTGTTAAATAATTATATTTTAAAAGCAACTTTTTTTGTACATTAAGTCTGAATAATAAAATTTATGATAATACTAATAAATATCATGTTACTTAAATAGAAGTTTAAATATTTTTTATTTCATTAAAGGGTGTCGTTCACTGTTTTCATACCATACATTTTTAAATTAATATTATAAACTCTTATCAAGGTGTTTTTTAATTTTAAACTTGTGGACTATAAATTTTAACCCAAATCTTTTATTTAAAATTTATTTTATAACTAAATCTTTAATAAATTACGATAAAATGTCATTTAAAGTTGAAAGTATGCCCAGGGTGTCGGTCACTGTACCCCTTACCCTAATTTTTTTTTTTTTTTTGATATATATACAAATATTATAATTGAGACTGCAAAGAACATTCTTAAATCCAGATTTATATAATTTTGATGAATTAAACAAATTGACAAATTTTTTTTTTTTTTTGTTAAATTCATTGAAGTAAATCCGACCAGAATAAACGATAAATTTAGAAAATTAAAAAAAAAGAAATTAAAAATTAATCAAAATAAATAATTAATGTGACAAAATCAAATTTTTCGATGACTCCAATCTCTATTGTTTTCCAACGTTTATTCTATTTTAATTGTACTTGATGAATTTGTGAATTATGATGGATGAAAAATGAACTGAAATAAATTATGATAATGGAATCAATCATTCATTTTTAACTTTTTATATTATTTTATTTATTTTGGTAAGAATTTTATATTGTTAATTTTCTGAACTCCTTTTTGTTAGTATTAATTTTTTAATTTATTATTGTAATTTGATAAGACTCCCTGAAGAGGAAATCGTACAGATTTCGAAACGTTGGAGAAATATAATTTTATAACTTTTGGTCCGAATGTCTTCGTTTATTTTATTTATCTTACTTAATACTACTCGGACGTAAAAGATTATTCATAATCAAATTTTTATTCGTAAATTGTAGAATTATCAATTTCACAATATATATATATATATATATATATATATATATATATATATATATATATATATATTAAAAATAATAATAGTAATAAAAGTAATAAATTTATTTCCTAATAAGTGATTTTTTTCTGAAATCAATAAAACCGAAAAAAAAAAATAATCAAGTGACCCTTCACTACAAAAAACCTTAATTCCCCATTTGCGTGTAAATTCATCCCCTTTAAGTTTGACTAATTTTTTGTTTCTAACCACTTCTTTTTTTTCGTCTCCCCCTCAAAGTCAAAAGAAAAAAAAACCAAGTCATTCAATTTTGTTAAAAAATACAAAATTAATTTCGCTACACTGTATATATATATATATATTAATCGCTCATAGTGACAGGTGAAGGTTAAATTTCACTGTTAGAATCAAGATACCAAGGATTATAAAAAGGGAGAAGTTGCTAAACTGGTCCTTGCCTTTTATTCCCTCACTTTGGTTCCGAAACATTGGCCTCAATTTCATTTTTTTTTTTTTGCAATTCCCAAAAAATAAAATTTTTTTTTGGAAAATAAAATTTTACCCACCATTTTGAAAAAATCAGAAATAATATACTAAAAAACAAAAATATTTCTTATTTTTCTCTTCAATTTGTGGAAGTAAGGAAAAAAAATAATAGGAATTTCAAAAATTTCGAGGAAATTGAATAGAGAGAGAAAAGTTCCTGGAATGAACCGGTGTCAATATAAAGTTAAAACGTAAACACTAGATGATAACCTCTTGAATTCATTGGAATTATGTATATATATATATATATATGTATATGTATAATAAAATATAATTGGAGAAATAAATGAATGAAAATGTAAAAAAATATTTATTTACGAACGTTTCCATATTTTCTGATGACAATTAAATTTGGATTGGCACTAAACACTCGCGTCATTTCGAATCTGAGGATTAAAATTGCACGACAGGATGCACCGGCAGCGGCCATATTTTCTTTCTGTCTCTCTCACACACACACTCTCCTTATTTTATCTCTCTTTTTTTCTATGTCACAACACTATTTTTTTTTTTCTGTTAATAAATATATTTCTATTTTATATATAGTGACGAGGTAATGTGTTTTTTTTCTTTTGCCGGTAAACGTGAGGGAATTTTAACACCTGTTTATGAAAACTATACCTCCGGCGTAGAACCACGAGGGACGATCGGCCGCTTTCGAGCGACTGCCGCCCGCGAGGGCAGACGACACATTTCGTCGGATATGCCAGCGGGAGAGAGACGATATACCACCCAACTCCCAAAAAAGAAAAAAAAAAAAAAAACTTTGGTACTTGATTGTGTATACACATTTGTTGGAGTGAATCATGCGCGTATCGACAATATTTCCAACGGAACTGAATATAATAATAATATTATATTTGCAATATGAGAGGAGAGCAAGAAAAAAAAAACAAACAAACAAAAGGTCAAGCAGATGATATTAGACAAGTGGAGGGGGGAATTAAATTTCCCGCCCATTTAGAACGCATGCGCCACAATCGTAAAAAAATTCTCAACATTTTTAATATTAGTTATATTATATATAGTTATAATATTTACGCTCATTTACTAATTTTATATTAATATTCATCGAAAATTAATAACTACAAATATTTATTTTATTAATAATTTTCTTTTCTTTCAGAGAAGGTAATTTTTTTTTAGTAATTCTACTTATCGACAGTTGGATTTGAGGCAGTGGAGGTTTACCAATGTTGCTACGAGGCGGCGCTGTGACTTAACAGCTTGTGGTAAGTGTCACGAAGTAATATAGAAATCTCCCTTTAGTCTGTCGTCTGCTGGTGGAGCTACTGAGCAGATGTTTTAATTTCAACATTATATTCATTCAAAACTCTTGTGATTTTAAAAGAACATTTTTTTTAATGTGAAAAAAATTTCATCGAAAATTATAGTATCAAAAATATATTCAATCTCATTATTATTATTATTATTATTATTATTATTATTATTATTATTATTAATAAATAAAAAAAAATTTTATTATCTCTGTTATGATGAGAAAGGATCTTGATGTCCGCAGGAAGGCGTAATTGACAAAACCTACATTATTATTTATTTAATTATATTAATTTTTATTATTTATTTTGTCTGTTTACAATTTTATTTTTTAACTTTATTTTATATTTTGTTTTTATTTAAAAGACTTTATTGTTTTTCTTTTGTGCTGTTTTGAAAATAAATTAGATTATTACGTTACATCAACAAGATAATAATGTGCAAATTTTTGTTAAATTTTTTTTTTCTAGTGTATGAAACAATTTTATATTACTGATTTAAATTATAAAAAGGAAAATTAATTACAACTGAAAAAAAATTAAAAGAAATTTTATAAGATACCTGGCGCAAAAAAGGTTAAAAAAATTCAATCACAAGACTGTATATAATAACTGTTATAAATAAAAATAATTTTTTATTACTAATTTAAATTTGAAAAAAAATTTAATTACAATTAAAAGAAATTGTAAAACCGGTATTTGTAAATTTTTTTTATTAATGACAAAAAAACTATCAATATGATAATGTAATTATTATTATTATTATTATTATTATTATTATTAATATTATTATTATTATTATTAATATTATTATTATTATTATTATTATTATTAAGGTTTCATTTCTAATGTATTTTAATTAATAATTTAAAGAAAGGAATAATCATATTAAAATTAAATACCTCACATTTTTATTTAAAATTTTATTTTTAACAATATTTTTAGGGTAAATTTTTTTTTAATTAAATAATTAACAATAAATTAATAATAAATATCTTATAAATTAATCAATTAATACATTACTGATTTAAATTAGAAAAGAAAATTAATTACAACTGAAAAAAAAATTAAAAGAAATTTTTTAAGATACCTGGCGCAAAAAAGGTTCAAAAAAAATTCAATCACAAGACCATATATGATAATTGTTATAAATAAAAATAATTTTTTATTACTAATTTAAATTAGAAAAAAAATTTAATTACAATTAAAAAAAATTGTAATACCGGTATTTGTAAATTTTTTTTTATTAATGACAAAAATACTATCAATATATAATAATGTAATTATTATTATTCTAATTATTATTATTGTTATTATTATTAAAGTTTCATTTCTAATGTATTTTAATTAATAATTTAAAGAAAGGAATAATCATATTAAAATTAAGTACCTCACATTTTTATTTAAAATTTTATTTGTAACAATAAATTTTTTGGTAAAAATTTTCTTAAAAATTAAATAATTAACAATAAATTAATAATAAATATCTTATAAATTAATCAATTAATAACAAATTTACCCCCAACGTAAAAAGTCATCGTCTAAAGGTATTTCTTCTCTAACAATTATTTTGTCTTCCGTCCACCCTGAAGGGATTATTGTTCTAAATTTAGTTCTTTTTAACCAATTTGCATAGTGTTCTAATACAAGATTAAAATATACATTAGAATTTAATAACTCTTGATATTTATATTTAAATGTTTTTATTCTCTCCACATCTTGTTCAATAATATTATCTTCAATTTTATTAGCTGAAAATTTTCTCATACCAATTTTAGTAAAAATATAATTAACATATTTTATCGATGACATTTCACTATTATTATCTAAATAATCATTTACACTAATTTTACAATTTAAATTATCGAAAGCTATAAATAATTTATCATTTATATTAAATTTTTCTTTTTTAATTTGTCTTTTTTCATTTTCAGAATCAAAAATAATAGTTTTATTTCGTTTTAATTGTATCCTATAAACATTATTTTCATCAAAATCATTTAAAATCATTTCAATCGTAAATGTTTTGTAATTTATTAAAATTCTGGTAGTTAATAATTTTTCACTATCATCACCACAATTAATATCAATATAATAATAATGTAATGGTAATAATATTTCATTTATTTTGACTTCATTAATTTTTATATCATATGATGCTTGACCAATTAATAGTGGATATTTCACATCGGAAAGATAAAATTTATTATTAATTTTTGTGGCAAAATATGTTGAATAGTAATTTGATGTTTCGATATCAAAAAGTGCATAAGATTTTTTTTGACGAATGATTTTATAAAATAAAATAAATCGATTTGATTTAATTAAACAACACTTACCAGAAATGTATAAACATTGATTCAAAATTGATATTGGAGATTCAATAATGTTAATTTTAATATTTGCAGAAATATCGAAAAAAAATTTTGGTACAAAATCTTTTAGCATTAATAAACGAATTTTTAAATATTCAAAATGTCTACTTGGAGATGTATTTTCCATAAGCATTAAATTAATACGTCGTAAATGTGATAAAATATTTAAATTTTGATGAACAAGAAAGACTTCAATTAAATTATAAACTATATCATTAAATTCATTTAAATTTGAGTACTTCAAATGTTGTCTATTAAATTCCCTAAATATTGATTCAAAATTATTGTAATTAAAAAGAATTTTGAAAAAATGTACTTTTAATGGTGATGTCCATTGTTGAATTGGAATTGCATTAAAATAGTGTTGTTTCAATGTCATCGAGTAGACAACAGGTAGAACCATTAATTCTTTATGTTTAATTGATTTTCTATATAAATTTGCAAAAAGATGACGCCAAACATTGCCAACAATATTTAAATCTTTAATAAAATATTTAATTTCATAAAATTGTCCAATTTTTGTTAATGTACACCAATTTAGATGACCATAATTGTCATTGAAAAATTCCATAATTGTATTAGCATTTATCCAGTCATTAGTGAAATTAGAATTACATTCAAAATTTTGATACATATTTGAACGTAAAAATATACTTTGCTGATTGTAATCATTCTCACCGAGTAATTTAATGTAATATCTCACAACATCCGTATGTTTCTGTAATGTTTTTATTAAACTGGAATTACTGGCTTTAAGCAAAATTACATCTCTTGAAGTCAATAACATTTGTGTGTAAAAATTTTCAATAAATCCATAAGATTCAATTGTATCGTAAAATTTTCCTTCATCTTCAATTGTTTTATTTTTATTCTCACCGTATGAATAAAAAATTGGTAAATAATTCCATTTTGTTGCTGTTATTGTCACATTAATGGGAATTTGATACGAAACTGATGCAACTGGTACACATTCATTAATTGCTGTTAAATTTCTTTGAATATTTGTTTCACCTTTAAAATCTATTATTTTTCCACCAGTTGGTGAATAATCAAGACAATAGAAATTGAAATTTTTAATTTTTTCATCAGCTTCAATTGAAATGAAAAATTCTGAATGTTGAGCAATTATTATTCCAAATTGATTTTTTTGATGATTGAGCATTGGCATTTTTTGTGGAAATTTTAATACCGGTATGCTTAAAGTTATTGTTATTTTCTAAAATACCACAAATAAAATTAATTACCAATTAATATTTTTATGATTCATATTTTTCAAAATTATTAAAAGCTAAAATTTTTCATAATTTTTAAAATCGAAATTAAAAAAAGAAAGAAATTAATTACCGTCAAGAACCATGCATCAATGTTCCCCATCAGTAAAAGTGTTGTAATCAAATTTAAAAACATTTTCTTTTCCCTTAAAGTGAACAATAGATTAATTTATTGAATAACCGAAATAAAGAAACAAAAACTAAATTTATATAATAATTTTGAAGGTCAAGCACGTGTTTCTCTTTTTCATTGAGAAGACAAATAAAATTAACACTTATGTCAATCTATTGTGTAAAAGAAATTTATTTGAAAATTTTCCTAAAACGTTTAAAAAAAATTATACACATACATGTGTCCAACATAAAATGTTTGAGAAAATTTTATGTTCCAGATATAGGAGAGTTTGATTTCAAATTTATTGACAAAAGCTAAAAGGTTTTATGCTAATGTGACCAGACAAAAAATTCATTGAAGAATTAAATAATAACAATTAAAATTTAAATTTTATTACATTGGTTTAAAATTTGATAAGATCTATTGTGTAAGATAAAAAAATCTGATATATATATATAGTTATAACAAAAAATAGAATAAGCTGAATAATTATTTAATTATCTGTTACATTTAAGCAGATGTTTATCGATATAATAGATGTCAAAAATATTTCATTAATCTTTTAATGTAATAGTTTTTTTTCATATTACAGAAGTAAAAAAAATTGATAAAAAGTTAAGGATTTTAGATTTTCTTCATTAATTTTAGTAGATTTAATGTCCGCTCAAATAATGTTCTGAAAATGTTTCATGATCGCCAAAAGTTATTGAAACATATAACGTATTGTGCCCACTGGAACTGTAGTAGGTTGATGATCCATAAAGAATTTTTATTATTATTCAGATAACTTCAAAAGCATAAATATAGAACGTTTCTTGTCCAATGAAAATGATGCAGATTGATATTTCATAAAGAATTTTTATTATTCAGATTACTTCAAAAACATCAATTCCTCAAAAATAGGAAAACAGTATGTCTAATATTTGAATTATGTTTCAAAATTAATTTAGCTTGAAGACATCACCAAGTCTTTGACAATTTTCTATCTTTTGTAACCAATCCAAATTTATTGAAACTCCATAAGGTAAATTTTAAAATTTATATAATGACATGTGTATAATTTATCAGAAACAAAATAAAAATTATTTTACATATATATATATATATATATATAAATGTATCATACAAATATTGTAACACTCGTCTATAAGTAAATTTACATTAACATAAAAGAAAGATAATAAAATTCGTTTGTTTTTTTTTAGTAACGATTAAATTCTCTCTATATTCAATTCAATGATCAAGAATATTTAAAAATTTTCTAATACAAAAGAAAGCTTATTACTTAAAATTAATTTTTTCTACACGATACAAAAAGTATTTTTTTTTTTTCTAAAAATGTCAAACTTATTGTGGATTTTATTGTTCCTGAAGATGATGGGTAAAATACAAACATGGGATTTAACGGTAATTAATTTCCTTGGTAACATAATTCATTTAGATATATTTTTATTATTTTATCTTATTAAAATTATTATCGCACCTGAATTTCGATTAAATGAACTACACAAAATTGTTCAAATAATCAAAAATTTTCTTCTTTTTTTTTTAAGGAAAAAACAGTAACTATAAATAGACCAGTACAAAATCAATATAAAAAATTAAATTCCAATATAAAGATAAAGGAACTTTATCATAAAAAAATGCATTTTGAAATAATAATTGCAAAAAATACAAATTTAACTATCAATGTTAAAAGTATTGGAAATTTAAATAATTTATACTTTTATTGCTTAAATGATTTATCATATTGGACAGTTAATATTTTAAATTATCAAGGTGAATTAAATTCAACAAAAACAATATCATCATTATATGATTGTGTTCCAATGATATCGTTTTCAAATAAAGATGCTTTTCAAGTGACAATAAAAACAAAAAATTGGACATTTTTACCAGTATTAAATTATTTTGAAGTAAAAGAAACTTTTGAATTGAAAATCATTGAAAATGATTTTCTCAATGAAATTGATACTTATGGTTTTGTGGACAGTTATTATATTCAAATATTTTTATCTAAACGAGATGCATTAGCGATTAAAAATAAATATAATTTAATTGATGAATTAAAAATACAAGCCAATGTTATTAGATATTTTAATAATTTAATTGCTAATGTCGATGAGGAAAATCAAACTATATTTTTACGTTCAATACAATGTCATCCGGATGTTTGTGAAGATAATTTTTATAACATCAAAGATTCAATTATAACAACATTAAACATAACTGAATTCTTCACTAATAAAAAAGAAGATTGTAGTTCGTCTTTATTGCAACAAATTGGTCGTTTCTATGAGGTCAAATACTTTAATAGAGATGCATATATCACAGAAAAAGTTTGGCTTTATATTTTCATTTATTTTTATAGTTTAAAAGCTAAATCAACAATATCAATTCATCATATAAAGGGAATAGTATGGAATGAAAGGATTCCATATAATGAGTGGAATTTTTTACAAAAGGTTAAATATTTTTTATATTTATTTGACATTGATGGTAATAAAAATCATTTAATATTCAGAGAATTTAATAATCGTTATCTTCAACAGTCGAAGAATAAATTTAGTGATATAATTTCAATTCTCGTGCAAGTCTTTTTGGAATATAAAAATGTTAATATTTTACCGTATTTAAATAAAGCTAATTTTACACTTATGGAAAATTCCAATTCACGTGAACATTATAATGATTTAAAAATACGACTTATGTGTGTTGAAAAATTTGAACTAAAATTTATATCTCACTCTAATGGAACAATTATTATCAATATCAAATCACCAATTTCAATTAATGGATTGTGTTTATATATCAATAATAATTGTATAAGAATTATTGAAACTAATGTCAGGCAAAAAATAAATCGAAGGGCATTTTACAGATTTATTAAACAAAATGATAATTCTATTTATTTTGCTGCACAAATTAATGGTGAATTGTATATTTACGAAAATGATAATGTAAATTTTAAATCTAATTCTTTTCTTTCATTTTACAATATTGAGATTAAAAAAGTAGATAAAAGTGTATTATATCTACCGTTAATTTACTATTATATTGATATAACTTGTGGTGAAAATTATGAATTAGTTTCTCGAATTTTTATAAATTATAAAACATCGACAATTATATTTTATTATTATAAAATTAATAGTTTTTCTTTAAATGTAAATTTTAATATAACTTTAGAAAATGAAGAAATAATTGTTTTTAATGAAAATAGTATAGAATTAAAGGAACAGGAATATTCTCAAATAGTTAGAAAAGAAAAATTTCAAATTACTGACAAATTAAATATTCAATTATCAAATTCAAATTGTCAAATTGACATAAACAATCATTTAGAATTAAGAAATTATAATCGTAAAATAAATTATTTTATGTCATTCGATTTAACAGATATTGGTTTAATGAAATTAAGTGACTCTTTTGAATTTGATATTGTTAAAAGTGATGTGATGAGAATTAGACAATTTATGACTAATTACATGAATTGTTTGAATACTAATGTATTTTACCAACGTTTACTTAATCATTATGCACATTTATTAATTTCAAAAGGATATTCACCAATTATTGTACGAAAATGGCTTTTACCTGATGATATACCACAGGAATTACAACGTGCAATTTCAATGAACAATTATAATGGATAGTTTTTAAATTTTGGTTTTTAAATGTAAAGGTATATGAAGTAAATACTTCTTTATTTTAAGCCATTTATAATAGAAAACTTCTCTCTTTTAAATGTAAAATTAAATATGTAAATTTAAAAATGTTAAACAAATTATTTTGTAATTGCAAAGAAAATAATATTCAATAGATAAATTTTTTTAATGGAAGAGCATTGTATTAGGTATTAATTAAATTCATTCCCTCATTCATTCAGAATTATATCAGTTAATTCAATCATTTAGGCTTAATTAAATTAATTAATTCGTTTATTGAGGATTAAATAAATAAATTCATTTATTCATTGAAGATTAATTAAATTCATTCATTAGGGATTAGTTAAAATCATTAATTTATTAATTCAGTATTAATTGAATTAATTCATTAAATAAGCATTAATTAAATTCATGCAGACATTCATTGAGGATTAATTAAATTAATTAATTCGTTTATTATTAATTAAATTATTAATTCATTTATTGAGGATTAATTAAATTAATTCATTCATTCATTGAGGATTAAATAAATTATTCATTTAGGATTAATAAAATTATTACATTTATTCAATGAGGATTAATTAAATTCATTCATTCATTGGGTATTGATTAAGTTAATTCATTTATTAGGTATTAATTAAATTCATTCCTTTATTGATTCAGGATTAAATAAATTCATTCATTCATTTAGAATTAATTAACTTAATTAATTCGTTTATTCAGGATTAATTAAATTCATTCATTGGGAATGAAATAAATTAATCATTCATTCAGGATTAATAAAATTATTACATTCATTCAATGAGGATTAATTAATTTCATTCATTCATTAGGGATTGATTAAATTAATTCATTCGTTCATTAGAGATTAGTTAAAATCATTAATTTATTAATTCAGTATTAATTGAATTAATTCATTAAATGAGCATTAATTAAATTCATGCATACATTCATTGAGGATTAAATAAATTATTCATGTAGGATTAATAAAATTATTACATTTATTCAATCAGGATTAATTAAATTAATTCATTCATTGAGGATTAATTAATTGAATTCATTCATTCATTCAGGATTAATTAAATTAATTCATTGAGGATTAAATAAATTAATCATTCATTCAGGATTAATAAAATTATTACATTCATTCAATGAGGATTAATTAATTTCATTCATTCATTAGGGATTGATTAAATTAATTCATTTATTAGATATTAATTAAATTTATTCCATTATTGATTCAGAATTAAATAAATTAATTCATTTATTTAGAATTAATTAACTTAATTAATTTATTGAAGATTTTCGAGGTATTTATGCTTTTGAAGTTATCTGAATAATAAAAATTCTTTGTGACTGTTATTGTTTTGTGAATTTTACCTGTAAAAGTTTAGCCTTTTTCACTACAAAGAATTCTTTATCTTTTACTTATGGATGGTAACTTATACCGTGTGATGGTAACTCAGTTAACTATTTCCCTTCGTGTGGCGCTCTTTGATGCAGTGTATCATCGTCAATAAAATAGCTGCCTACATTGTTATGAGAAATTCCAACCCCTATTGTTTTCCATCGTTTTTAGATTTTATATTTAAAATAACGAATACTTTTTTTAAATTACAAAAAGTATATATTTCGATAAAACTGACTTTGTAATACATATAATTGATTTTTAATTCTATAAGATAATTTAAAAATTTATTTTTTTAAATTTTTGTTTGTCAATTTGTTCACTTTCTTTATTTATTATTATTTATACCAATATGTTTACACTGCATATCTATAAAATATGTATAATATTTTTGAAAATTTTCCAAAGCTTAATATTATATTAAGGGGGGTTATTAACTTATTATTAATATTACTCTAAAATGAATTCTACTTAAAACAAATTTTCAGACACGTTTCCAATTATTTAGGGTTAAAGTTTTTAAAACTCGTGCGTACTTTAAAATTATATACCTATACACTTTTATAATAATTTAAATGCACAATAAATATTTCATAATTTAAAAATTTTTTTATTTACGTAGAATTTTTTATGTGAACCTTTTTTATTTTATTGGTAATCCATTATAATGAGATATAATATATTATGTTATATGCTTAAATTTTTGAGTGACATTGTAATTTAAATAAATTAAAATATTATACTAAGTCTTTTGTAAAAATAAGAAATATTTCATAAGATTGTTTGAAAACTTTTTCAAATATTTAAAAATAAAGAGTGTATTGTCATTCAAATTTATATATAATATACATTGTAGATATTTTGGTTATTTCATTAGCAATCTGACAAGTTAAAGGGAATCATCAAAATTTTGTAAGTTTAGAAATATTTATCATTATTACTCTAATTATTACAATTACTTTGTATTATATTAAATACCATCAAATTAAATACCAATTAAATATCATCCATATCATTATAATTAATTAATTGCAGTTGTTAAATTTTATTTCTAAAATTTAAAAATTCTTTTATTTTAAATTTTGTTACATTTTTCTAACTTGTAACACTGAATAATAATTTCTTTATTATTGTAATAATTAATTAAATACTAAAATTAATTATTTCGTTATTGTAATTAATTATTTTTTTATTGGAATTAATTATTTCATTATTCTTATTAATTATTTATATTATTTTAGATTAAGAAAAGATAAAGAAGAGAAATTATTAAAGAGATTGTCAATTTCAAAAATGGAAATTGCAAATTTAACGACAACATTAAACACCATTCAAATAATTTCCATCACAACGTACTTACATAGACTAAGTAGTTTTATGCATTTGTCTTATAATTTAAATGTCAATCTAAAAAATAATAATTTTGCTATAATAAATTCCTTAGTAAACTACATAAAAATTTACGGAGATCATGATGATAATACAAATTTTTTAACTCATTATTTATTAAACGACAATGTTTATTACGATGAAACTATTGAAAAAAAAATCAAATACAATGTAATATTCAAGAAAGTTTTATTCGATTACATAATTCATAAAGTGATTTTCAATGATTTTGGAAATGTTTATGGATTTTTGGCAGAACATGTACGAAAATTAGAAAATTACCAATCAATTGATAATCTTCTTAAATATGTAAAATTAACACTAACTTATATGAGATGTGAAACAAATAATCAAAAAATTGCCCTTCATGAATTGACAATAAGAAGAATATTTTATGAAACAATTGTTCCTCTTTTTCCAAAGGTGAGAAAAAATTTGTCCCTAAATTCAATAGATTTAATTTATGCTCAAGCTGGTTGTCGTTATGCCTATTCGTCTTGTCATCACTATTATTATACATATACATTGGGAAATGAATTGAATGATGATGATGAAAATGGATTATTTGATAAACATATTGAAATTGTAATGGCAATTAAACAATTAATTGGTAATGGAATTATTAATAAATTGTGGATTAAAATTTTTGCACTTCCAGCAATTTTAAATTATGTTCATGATAATAGGGAAACATTGGAAGATATTGAAATGAAAGTAATTATTTCTAATCGTCATTATTGGATGAAAGCTTATAGATATTTATTTTCCTATCTACAAAATGCGGATGAACTAATAAGAAAAACAAAAGCAGTTGATCCAAAATATCAATACTATTTGGCTGTATTAAATTTTAAAAATTACACAACATTAGCAAAAGAAGAATTAAAAACAAAATGTTTAATTACAAATGAGACACAATTACAAAATGAAATTGACAAATATATCAACAATACTTCGAATTATACATGTTTAGGTATAAAAAATTTGCCACCATTAACTGAAATTTATGATGAACAATTCAATGATATTATGGACAAATATTATCAATTTCGAAAGGAAATAAATAAAGAAACAAATGTAATTAAAAATCGTCGATTTGAAATTAATGGTGAAATATTTGTTGATTGTAAACAATTATCAGAGAAAACAGTAAACAATTTACACTGTTTATCATTATTGTATTCGTGTATTGTTGGTTTTATTGAAGGTAATCCAATTAATTCAATAAATAATTGTCCAATTAGAGGAGCAATTCGAATTAAACATAATACAAAATTTGATGATATTTCACAAGAAATTACAACAATTCAAACTCGTAATGTATTATCTAAATATGGTACAACTATAAAAACATTAGCTGTAATGTCATCATGTCAAATGATAGTGAATGATAAACAAATATTTTCACAATTGAATAAAATTGATTTAAAAAATATCACATTTTTTGAATTAGGAATTCCACAACTATTGGGAATTGATCATGGATTAGAAATTAATTCTATGAAATCTAGTAATGATTTGATTAAAATTGGAATTCTATTAACAAATATTAAGAATAAGTTTTTTTATTTCATCTAAATTAATATTATAATTTTAATATTTAATTTTCCAAAAAAAAACATTGTAAATAATAAATGAAAATTTTAGATTTTATTATATAGGATAAAATTTTGTTTTTTAAGCTTATGTGCATTAAATTATTTTTATCAATAATTTGAAAAATGTAAATAAAAATAAATATTTGCTAGAAAAAAAAGTATTATTATTTAAACATCGGACGATAAATATTAAATATTTCCATACAGTGGAGTTGGAACCATAATATTAAGCTACTGAATGTTTTCGTTACCAAGAGGGATTAATTAAACTCATTAATTCATTAAGGAATAATTCAATAAATTCATTCATTAAGCATTAATTCAATTCATTCATTCAGAATTAAATATATAAATTAAATCATTTAGGATTATTTAAATTAATGCATTCATTCATTGAGATTAATTAAATTAATTTACTTACGAAAAATTAAATTAATTTACTTACAAATAATTAAATTAATTCATTAATTAAGGATTAATTAAATCAATGACTTCAATTATTGGGTATTAATTAAATTCATTTATTCATTGAGAATTAATTAAAAAAATTTATTCATTCATTAGGGATTAATTAATTTAATTTACTTATGATTAATTAAATTCATTCATTCATTCATTAGGTATTAATTGAAATAATTTATTCATTTATTAAGAATTAATTAAATTAATTCATTAATGATCAATTAAATTTATTCATTAATTAGGTATTAATTGAATTCAATTAATCAGGATTAATTGAATTAATTAATTTATTCAATGAGGATTAATTAAACTCTTCCATTTCTTGGGGATTAATTAAATTCATTTACTCACTAAGGATTAATTAAATTAATGAATCTATTAATTAAGGATTAATTAAATTAAAGAATTTATTCATTGAGGATTAATTAAATTAATAAATCCATTCATTGAAGATTAATTACATCAATTCATTCATTGCGGATGAATTAAATTAATAAATCTTTTTATTGAGGATTAATTAAATTAAGTAATTCAATAACTCAGGATTAATCGAATTATTTCATTCATTAAGAATTAATTAAATTTATTCATTCATTGAGGATTAATTAAATTTATTCATTCATTAAGGATTAATTAAATTAATTCATTCTTTTATTCAAGATTAATTAAATTCATTCATTCATTCGGGTTTAATTAAATTAATTCATTCTTTCATTCAGGATTAATTAAATTCATTCATTGATGGTTAATTAAATTCATTCAGTCAAGATTAATTAAATTAATTAATTCATTTATGGAGGATTAATTAAAATCATTCATTCATTTAGGATTAATTAATTTATTCATTCATTGATCATTAATTAAATTCATTCATTCATTCATTGGGGATTAATGAAATTTATTAATTGAAGTTTAATTAAATTCATTTATTTATTAGGGATTAGTTATATCTTTATTTACTCTCCCTGCCTTATGCAGGGTTCAATTAGTTAAATTTATTCAGGATTAATTAAATTCATTCATTGATGATTAATTAAATTAATTCAGTCAAGATTCATTACATTAATTAATTCATTTATGGAGGATTAATTAAAATCATTCATTCATTTAGGATTAATTAATTTATTTATTCATTGATGATTAATTAAATTTATTCATTCATTGATGATTAATTAAATTTAATCATTCATTGATGATTAATTAAATTCATTTATTTATTGATGATTAATTAAATTTAATCATTCATTGATGATTAATTAAATTCATTCTTTCATTGATGATTAATTAAATTTATTCAGTCAAGATTAATTAAATTAATTAATTCATTAATTAATTTCATTTATTGTGGATTAATTAAATTCATTTATTCATTGAGGATTAATTAAAATAATTCATTGATTCATTGTGGATTAATTAAATTAATGAATTTCTTCATTAAGCATTCGAATTTCTGGACAAAAAGATCACAATTACATCTTCTATAATCTGCGTTCTATATTTAATTGTGATTTTATATTAAAAATTTATAATTTTGGTTATATTTTTATTTTGATTTAATTAATTTTTTTGATGGCCCCGGAGGATTCAAACTTCTTATTAAATGTAAATAATGACACAAACTTAATCTAACCTGTAGCTTCATTAGATATGTATGTATAGATTGAAATATATATTGTAAGATAAGTTTATGAATATATTATTTCGTGAATATTTCCATTAAACAATGATTAATATCACTACTTCGACAAAAGTAAATAGATATCATTTTTAATTTTAATTAATTATTGGAAAACTAGTTACACGCGTCATTTTTTAAATAAATATTTAATAAATGTGTTTCTTTGAAGATTGTCAAATATAATAATAAAAGATAATACTTTTTTAATACAATTTATCTCAATTTTAGTATTTTAAAAATTATTTTATTAACAGCTTGCTACATTATTGACGGGAATCAACCAAAATTTTGTAAGTTTAATTATAAATAATTTTTCTTGTATATTAACATTTTTTTTTCATCTAATTAGAATTAATAAAATCAGAAAATTATAATAATTAAAATATCCATTTGTTAATTTTAGATATAGAGAAATTTTTAATTATTAATTTCAAAATGGAGGTTGCAAATTTAACGAGTACTTTACACACAATTCAAATGATATCCATCGCAACTTATATGCAAAGATTGAGTAATTTTTTGCATTTAAGTTACAATTTAAATGTCAATGACAAAAATAATAGTATGGCAATTATTAATTCCTTTGTTATTTATTTAAATACTTATGAGAAAAATGATATTGATACAAATTTTCTAACCTATTGGTTATTAAATGACAATGTTTATTACGACAAAGCCAATGATATAAATATTAAATATAATTCTATGTTTAAAAAAATGTTATTCGATCATATAATTCATCATGTTGTTTTTAATGATTATGGTAATGTTTATGGATTTTTAGCAGAACATGTTCGTAATTCAGAAAGTCTTCCAACACTTCATAATCTCTTTGAAAATGTAGTATTATCATTAAATTTTTTAAGAATTCGTTCACAAAATTCACTAAGTGATAAAGTAATTAGAAAAATATTTAACAAAATAATTGTTCCACTTTCTTTGGAATTGAAAAATAATCTTTATATTAATTCATTGGATTTTATTTATGCTCAAGCTGGTTGTCGTTTTTCATATTTAATCAATAGAGAAAATTCAATTCCAAATTCTTGGTTGACCGATAACGAAAGAAGAAATATATTTCAAACATATCTTGAAATTGGATTAGCAGTAAAACAAATGGCATCTTATAAAATAATTGATAAATTATCGTTGAAAATTTTTGCACTACCAGCACTACTTAATTATGTTTATATTAATAAGGAAAAATTACGTGATATTGAAATGACAACAATTGTTTCTGATAAAAATCATTGGACAAATGCTTATGATAATTTATTTTCCTATCTACACAATTCAAATGATTTAATAATAAAAACAAAAGCAGAAGATCCAAAATATCAATATTATTTGGCTGTTTTACATTTTAAAAATTATACAACATTAGTGAAAGAAGAATTAACAAAAAAATGTATATTTGCCCATGGAACACAATTAGAAAATGAAATTAACAAGTATATTAATAATACAGCTAATTATACATGTTTAGGTTCACAAAATTTATTACCATTAGAGCAATTTTTCAAAGAACAAGTAAATGATATGCTTCACAAATATTATCAGTTTAAAATAAAAGAAGAAGAAGAAAAAAATGAAACTATTACAATTGATCGATATGAAATTAATAATAAAATATTTGTGAATTGTAAAAATTTATCAGAAGATGAAAATATTTTAGAAACAGAACATAAATACTGTTTATCATTATTGTATTCGTGTATTGTCGATTTAATTGAAGGAAATCCAATTAATTTATTAACAAATGATAATTGTCCAATTAGTGGAGGAATTCATATTAATGAGGTGACAAAATTTTATGATTTAATTCAACATTTAACAACAATTAAAACACGTAATGAATTTTCTAAATTGGGAACAACTATAAGAACAATAGCATTAATGTCATCGATTTTAAGAATATTGAGAGATGAAAAAACATTTTGGAGATTGAAGAATATTAATATAAAAAATAATACATTCGTCGAATTAGGAATTCCCAACGCTGCAGGAATTAATCATGGATTTGAAATTCATTCTATTTACAGTCCTAATGATGTATTTCTAATAGAATATCTTATAAAGAAAATTGGAATAAGAAGTTCTATTTTATTTGAATTTTTATTTAAATCATAATATCTTATTAATTTTTAAAATTATTTCTTTGGAAAGGGTACATAATTTTTTAGGGTTTTCTGAATTAATTAGATTGATTAAATTAATTAAATAGAATAAATAAATTAAGGAGGGCTTAAGTAAATAAATTTATTCATCCAGGATTAATTTAATTCATACATTCATTTAGGATTAATTAAATTAATAAATCCATTCATTAAAGATTAATTAAATTATTTCACTCATTGAGGATTAATTAAATTAATGAATCTATTAATTAAGGATTAATTAAATTAAAGAATTTATTCATTGAGGATTAATTAAATTTATTCATTCATTCATTTAGGATTAATTAAATTAATAAATCCATTCATTGAAGATTAATTACATCAATTCATTCATGGCGGATAAATTAAATTAATAAATCTTTTTATAAAGGATTAATTAAATTAATTAATTCAATAACTCAGGATTAATCGAATTATTACATTCATTAAGGATTAATTAAATTTATTCATTCATTGAGGATTAATTAAATTAATTCATTCATTCATTGAGGATTAATTAAATTAATTCATTCTTTCATTCAAGATTAATTATATTCATTCATTCATTCGGGATTAATTAAATTAATTCATTCATTCGGGTTTAATTAAATTAATTCATTCTTTCATTCAGGATTAATTAAATTCATTCATTCATTCATTGAGGATTATTTATATTAATTAATTCATTCATTGAAGACTAATTAAATAAATAAATTTATGCAGGATTAATTTAATTAATTCATTTATTTAGGATTAATTAAATTAATAAATCCAGTCATGGAAGATTAATTAAATTAATGCATTCATTGAGAATGAAATTAATTAATTAATGAATTATAGATCTGAGTTATATTGATTATATTATTTTTAAAACACGAAAATTCTGTTGTATTTATTTTATTCAATAAAATAAGAGTATTCAATAAATAATTACGAATATAAAAACTCAAAGGAAGATAAGAATCCAAAAAATTTGAATATTCAATGAAGTAAAAATTTTGAAACGTAAAAAGAATTGAATTTCAAAACCAACATTATATCTAAATTTTAATTTTTAATCCACGAGTACTGAATTTTATAAAAAATTCATTGTCAAACAAAAATTATATTTTATGATTAAATTGTTAAAGTTGTATTTTATTTACAATTGTAGACAGTTTTTATTATCAACTTCATAATTTTTTTATTTTAATTTGACATATGTATAAATATTGTATTATTAAAAAAAAACTACTAAATTACAAAATTAAATTTATCTATACCAAACCTTCAAGTTACAATTTACAATATATGAATATAATTAAAAAGTCATATAATTTAATTATTTGATCGATAATAATTTATAGAAGATAAAATAACAGACATTGTCATATTGTGGTAAATGTACAGGAAAAATTATACTAGTATAATAATTCTGAAAATATTGACTTTTAGGAATATTTAAAAAATTTCGTAAGTTTAATAAAATTATTAATTATTTTCTTAATTTATAAAATTAATATAAAAAATAAGTTTACGTTTTTTTTTTCAATTTTAGATCAATTTTGGAAGTCATTAAAAAATATTTTCTAAAAACTTAAAAATGGACGTGGCAAATTTAACACAAACTATAAATACCATTCAAATGATTTCCATTGTTACTTATTTAGAGAAATTAAATAATTACTTGCACTTTAACAATTTTTTAGACAACACTGACCTTGGAAATTCTATTGCAATTATTAATTCATTAGTGGATTATTTGGAAAGTTACGAGTCAAGTGAACGTGAATTAAATTTTTTTACACATTATTTAATGACCGATAATAAATTAAAAAAAAACAGTGAAATTATACAAAAATATGATAGAAATTTCAAAAGAATTTTATTCGATCACATAATAATGAGTGTAATTTTTGAAAAATATGGTAATATTTATGGATTTTTGGCAGAAATTTTTAGATTAAACAAAATGAATTTATCAATTGAAAATTTAATCAATAATATTGATCATGAATTAATGAATATAAGTGAAATAAAAAAAAGACAAGTTACACTCAGTGAAACAGTAATTAATAGATTATTTAGTGGAACAATTGATTTACTATTTCCAAAATCGTTAAGAACAAATTCAATAAATTCAATAGATTTTATTTATGCACAAGCCGGTTGTAGTTTATATAATTCACAATTAGTGAATTATAATTATTTTTTTAATTTAAACATTAATAAACAAGAAATGCAAAATAGTCAATATATTTTTAATGATTGTCTTGAAATTGGATTAGCTGTCGAGCAATTGGTGATTTTTGGAAATATTGATAAAGAAGCTTTAAAAATTTTTGCACTACCAGCACTTTTAAATTATGTTCAGGTAGAGGAAGGAAATCTTAAAAATTTGAAAATTAAAGAAATTATATCCAATCCAAAACATTTGACCAATGCTTATGATTTATTATTTTTAAAATTACAAACAGTTTTATACTATTCTAAATATTTAAAAACAATGGATCCAAAGTACGAATATTATTTAACACTGTTTCATTTTCAAAATCAAACATCATTGGCAAAAAGAGAAATAATGATGAATTGTGATTTTCAAAATGATAATCAATTAGAAAAGGAAATCATTAACTATATCAATAATCCTAATAACTATTCATGTTCCGATGGAGAAAAATTAGTAGCATTGGATAAACTTTCTAAGAAGGAGAGAAATAATCTTTTATATAAATATCATAGATTTTTAAATGCAGTAGATAATGAAAATGCCAACAATCAGAGTGTAAAAATTAATAGTAAAAAATTTCAAATTAATGGTGAAATATTTGGTGATTGTAATAAATTTGATTCTGAAAATGGAATAAAAAAATTTCACTGTCTTTCCTTACTCTATTCATGTATTGTCGGTATTATTGACGGAAATCCATTAAATTCATCATCTAATTGTCCAATAAAAGAATTAATACGATTTCAAGATATAATAAAATGGAATTCACAATTTATTACTTTTGAAACACAATTAACATTTTCTCAATTGGGAATGTCTTTGAGAACATTGGCATTAATATCCTCAATGTTGGCAATTCTAAATGTGAATTCTAATCTGTCATCAAGAGGAATGGGAAATTTAACAAATGTGGGATTTCCAAAATTACCAGCAATTGATATTGGCTATGAGCTTGGAATTATTTTAGGTGACAATGGTTTAAAATCAATACAACATTTGATGGAGACAATTGAGACGAAATTTTTTATTTCCTATGATTCGGAGTCGCGAAATTTTAGCATGTCACTAAATCACATTGAAGTGATAGTAGCAGACAGTAGTATTAGTAGTACTGTTAAGAAAGAATTGGATTTAGATGAAAACACTCTTCATCGGATTAAAGAGATGTTTCAAAAACAATTCCAAAAAAATAATAGTAGTCCTGTATAGTTTTAGAGAATCCAAAAAAAGGTCTACAGCTTTGGAGAATCAAAATAAAAAAAAAAAAAAAAAAAAACGTTGTCTGCAAGTTTGAAGAATTTAAGAAGAAAACAATCATCTATAGCATTGGAGAATCAAAAAGGAAACCTTTTTACCAATCGTCTGCTTATTTTTCTGATAAAATTTCGTTTCATATTTATGAAAGATATTTCAAATTATTTATTGTTTTCATTTTTCATAAGTAAAAAAAAGCAAAATTTAACTGTCAAACAAATTAATACAGTAAATACTGCTGTAAGGTAATTCAGAATATAATTATAACGTAATAATACAATGTCAAAAATTTAATTAATTAATTCAAGAATAATTAAATTTATTCATTCATTAAGGATTAATTAATATAATTAATTAAATTCATTCAATATTCAATCAGGATTAACTAAATTTATTAATTTATTGACAATTAATTAAATTTATTCATACATTTATTGAGGATTAATTAATTTATTCATTGTGGATTAATTAAATAAATTTATTTATTCATTCATTGCAATTCATTTATTCATTCATTCAGGATAAATTAAATTCATTTATTCATTCAGGATGAATTAAATTCATTTATTCATTCATTAAGGATAAATTAAATTATTAATTCATTTATTGAGGATGAATTAAATTAATTCATTCATTCACTGTGGATTCATTAAATAAATTTATTCAATCAGGATTAATTCAATTCATTTATTAATTCATTCAGGATAAATTAAATTCATTTATTCATTCAAGAAGAATTAAATTCATTTATTCATTCATTAAGGATTAATTAAATTATTAATTCATTTATTGAGGATGAATTAAGTTAATTCATTCATTCACTGTGGATTAATTAAATAAATTTATTCATTCAGAATTAATTCAATTCATTCATTCATTCATTCAGGATAAATTAAATTCATTTATTCATTCAGGATGAATTATATTCATTTATTCATTCATTAAGGATGAATTAAATTAATTCATTTATTCATTGCGGATTAATTAAATAAATTTATTCATTCAGGATTAATTCAATTCATTTATTCATTCATTCAGGATTAATTAAATTATTAATTCGTTTATTGAGGATGAATTAAATTAATTAATTCATTCATTGTGGATTAATTAAATAAATGTATTCAATCAGGATTAATTAAATTCTTTTATTCATTCATTCAGGATAAATTAAATTCATTTATTCATTCAGGATGAATTAAATTCATTTATTCATTCATTAAGGATTAATTAAATTATAAATTCATTTATTGAGGATGAATTTAATTCATTCATTCATTCATTGTGGATTAATTAAATAAATTTATTCATTCAGGATTAATTCAATTCATTTATTCATTCATTCAGGATTAATTAAATTATTAATTCGTTTATTGAGGATGAATTAAATTAATTCATTCATTTATTGTGGATTAATTAAATAAATTTATTCAATCAGGATTAATTAAATTCTTTTATTCATTCATTCGGGATAAATTAAATTCATTTATTCATTCATTAAGGATTAATTAAATTATTAATTCATCTATTGAGGATGAATTAAATTAATTAATTAATTAATTAATTCATTGTGGATTAATTAAATAAATTTATTCATTCAGGATTAATTCAGTTTATTCATTCAGCATAAATTAAATTCATTTATTCATTCATTCAGTATTAATTAAATTATTAATTCGTTTATTGAGGATGAATTAAATTAATTAATTCATTCATTGTGGATTAATTAAATAAATTTATTCATTCAGTAAATTTTTTTGTTGCCAACGAAATCTTTTAGGAGACAAAGAAACAACGTCTTTTTTATATTATTCTTTACTGTGATTTCATCGAGTAAATTTTTTATTTCATTATTTCGCCTTTTCATTGGAAATCTCAATTAATTAAATATCAAAGGACATATATGTAAATAAAAATTAATTAAAATAAAGGAATTTTAATGAATTTTTCTTATAAAATTTCATTTCATATTTTTATGAAAGATGACAAAATTTTTTCTTGTTTTCATTTTACCAATATTGATTTTAGATTTCCTTCTAGTTTTCCTTCTAGTCAAATAATTCTAAAAAAATTTCAAAATACCAAATAAATTAATATAATGCAAAATAAATTTTACATTATATTTATAATATATGTTTTTTTGTATGCAAATTTATTAAAAATTATTTTAATCAATATTTAATAAATGTGTTGTTGACTTATTGAAAAAAATTGTAGATTATAAAATAAAAAAAAAAAATATCGTTCTATTTTGACACGAGATAAGTAAAAATTATCATATTTATCAAAATTTTTATATTTCATTGCAAGAATTTTAAATAAAAGACCCTAAAAAAAAATTCGGCAAATAATAAATTGTTATCTTCTAAAAAAAAATAATGCATAATAATTTTAATTAAATTTAAAATAGTACTGAAATAAATTTAATAATAGAACAAAAATTTACATTTATAGAGAGAATTTTTTTTTTGTATGCAAATTTATTACTATTATTTTGTCAATATTTAATAAATATATCGACTTATAGAAAATTGCAATATATATATAGATTAAATTTTTATAATAATTAAATCTCCAGAGTCAACTGATAAATTCAACTGGAATTCTAAAAAATTTTTTTGGTATAATTATAATTATTATTATTATAATTATTATTATTATTATTATTATTATTATTATTATTATTATTATTATTATTATTATTATTACATTATTATTACTATTATTTTTTACATTGTCATAAAATTTAATTTGTTAAAAAAAGATTTTTTTTTTTACAATTTTAGATCAATTTTGTCAAAAAGGGAAAAGAAACGAAAATTGTTTTAGAAAAAAAAAATGGAAGTTACAAATTTAACACAAACATTATATACAATTCAAATGATTTCAACTGTCACTTATTTAAAAAAACTATCAACTTATATGGAAGCAATGCTTTTTCTCGACGTATGGAACAGCAATAATTCTTTTGCAATAATAAATTCATTTGCATCTTATTTGGAAATTTATGAATCACATGAAAATTCAACAAATATTTTAGCAAAATATTTAATGAGCGATAAATTATTTATAAATGGAAAAAAAAATTTAAATCTCAATTTTAATAAAAATATTACTGGTATTTTATTTGATTATATAATATTGAGTGTTGTTTTTGAAAATTATGGCAATATTTATGGTTTTTTTGGTAAATTATTGAGAGAAAATAAAATGGATCAATCAATTGAAAATTTACTTCAAAAATCAATAATTACATTAAATAATATGAAAAAAGAACAAATTTTTCTCAATGATTTAATAATTAATCGTATATATAATGGAACTATTATTCCATTATTTCCTCAAACAAATAAAAATTATTCACTTAATTCAATTGATTTTATTTATGCACAAGCTGGTACAAATTTATATAATAATTTAATTTATTATAAATATTTTTTTAATTTACAAAATTTACAATTTGACAATAAATATTTATTTGATGATTGTCTTGAAATTGGATTAGCTGTTGAGCAATTGGTAATTTCTGGAAATATTAATAGTGAAGCATTGAAAATTTTTGCACTATCAGCAATTTTAAATTATCTTAATGAAACAAATGTTAAAAATGTGGAAATTAAAGAAATTATTTTCAATTCAGAACATTGGGCCAATGCTTATGATTTGTTATTTTTAAAATTAAAAGAATTTTCTATGTTTAGAAAGAATTTAAAAATAATTGATTCAAAATACGATTATTATTTAGCTTTATTTAATGTTCAAAATCAAACAACATTGGCGAGAGGAGAAATAGTGATGAATTGTAATTATCAAAATGATAAACAATTGGAGGAGGAAATTATTAGATATGTCAATAATCCTGATAATTATTCATGTTCAAATGAAGGAAAATTAGTAGCATTGAATAATGTTTTTAAAATGAAGATAAATAATTTTTTATTCAAGTATCATAAATTTGTATCAACAATTGATGAAGAAAATATCAACAATCAAATTGTAAATATTACCGATGGACAATTTAGAATTAATGGCGAAACATTTTATGTTTGTAATAAATCCGAAGGGTCAAGAAAATCTGTGGGATTTGATTCTGAAAATGTTGATGCAAAATCTGTAAAATCTGATTCTAAAAATCTCGAAGGAAAATCTGTAATGTCTGATTTCGAAAACGTTGATGCAAAATCTGCAAGGCCTAAATCTGTAAAATCTAATTTTGAAAAAATCGAAACAAAAAAATTCCACTGCTTTTCCTTACTTTATGCCTGCATTGTTGGAATAATTGAAGGAAATCCGTTAAATTCATCATCCAATTGTCCCATAAAAGGAGCAATACGATTACAAGATGTGACAAAATGGAATAATATTAATAAACAATTTACAACTATTGAAACACAATTTGGATTGTTGCACTATGGAACATCTTTGAGAACATTGGCACTAATGTCCTCGATGTTAAAAATTTTGAATGATGATACTTCTCAGTTGCCAACAAGAAGGAAAATTAATACAACAAAAAATGTGGGATTTCCAATATTACCAGCAATTGATAATGGTTATGAGCTCAGCGATATTTTGAATTTAAATGGTTTACAATCAATAGAACATTTGATAAGGACAATTGAAAATCAGTATTTTATTTCATATGCATCAACTTCGAGAAGGTTTAACATTAATTTAATTGAAATGAAAAATGATGAAAGTAGAATTGGTATGGATGAATTAAGGAATGGAATTAATTATAAGCATTTGGATAATCACAAACGGTTTTTTGATGAAGGTGCTAAAATTATTAACAATAGTTACCTTTTGTTGTAGGGGATTTAAAAATAAAATCATCAGCAGTAAGGAAACAGTTTTAGGTGTTCTATAGAAGGATTTTTAGAATTCAGAAACAGTTTCTAAAACATCTGTAAGGATTTTTAAAACTATAATCAGTACAAATAATTTTTGATAAAATAGAAAAATGGTTCCATCCACAGGAAAAAAATTAATACAGGATGCAATAAGTAATGGTACAAACAGTTTCTAAAAGATTTGAAAGGATTTTCAGAACTAAAAGCAGTACAATTCCAAAAAAAAAAAAAAAAAAAAATTCAGAACGCAACTGAATTGAATTTATATTTTTCCAACCAAAGAAATACTTATTCTATTAAAGTTAAATGTAAAAAAAATTTTATAGAAATATATATATAATACAGAGAAAATTTGCTTTATTCTTCAAAATTTTTGTTCTGTCAATCTTAAAAGTAAATATTTGCAATAATCGAATTTACTAATTCAAAGATAAATATATCCGCAAAGAAAAAAAAATAGAGATAATATATTATTATTTCTCTGCTTTACACTTGTCGAAAATGTAAATTTTTTTTCAATTTATTTAATCAAAAAAAAAAAAAAATAATAATTTTTATTTACCATTCATTTATTAGATAATTAATATTGAAATTAAAAAGAATTAAGAATACAAAAAAAAATTTGTTTTTCTATTCATAAATGACAAATATTCTTTTATTTTTAAATTAAACAAACTGTAAGTATAATAAATATAAAGAAAAATTCCTAACGTACGTGATCTTTATCAGGTAATTAAAAATCGAAAAGATATATACATTCCTGGTATATAGTGAAATTCGTAATATTTAGTTATAATCAAAATTTTTAAAATGAAACTTCAAAAAATAAGTTATATTCTTGTTTTTTTAATTATTTTCACATCAATTTTAATTAGTGAACTAAAAGGAAATGAAGAGATTCACAAAAATATTGAGGTAAAAAAAATTTTTTTATTAAAATAAAAAATTTATTAGTTAAGTTATTTTCAAAATTTTTTTTATTATTATTTAAAAATTTAATAACAGATACAAAAAAAAAAATTAGTTTTAAAAAGTTTAAAAAATTCCTCTTTATTTAAAAAATTATTACTCGGGGAATTATTTTGGGGCGCTCATTACGATTTTGGTACTAGTTTTTCAAATTCAAAATGGCGGATCCAATGTGGCGGCAACATTCTTTAAAAATTGATTCAATTCACTTGATTTTTGTTACTCAGGGGTTTTTGGGGTCGCTAATTACGAATTCGGTGTCAGTTTTTCAAAATTCAAAATGGCGGATTCAATATGGCGGCGAAATTTCTTAAATTAATCAAAATCGTTTCAAAAATCATCATCCTAGGGTTTTTTGGGGCGCTGATTACGATTTTGATATCAATTTTTCAAAATTCAAAATGGCGGATCCAATATGGGGGCAACATTCTTTAAAAATTGATTCAATTCACTTGATTTTTGTTACTAAGGGGTTTTTTGGGTCGCTAATTACGAATTCGGTGTAAGTTTTTCAAAATTCAAAATGGCGGATTCAATATGGCGGCGAAATTTTCTTAAATTAATCAAAATCGTTTCAAAAATCATCATCCTAGGGTTTTTTGGGGCGCTGATTACGATTTTGATATCAGTTTTTCAAAATTCAAAATGGCGGCTCCAAAATGGCGTCAAAATTTTTAAAAATTAATCAAAATCGTTGTAAATTCGTCACCTAGGGGGTTTTTGAGGGCGCTGATTTCGATTTTGGCCTTAGTTTTTTAAAATTCAATATGGTGGATCCAATATGACGATAAAATTTTTCAAAATTAATCAAAATCGTTTCAAAAATCATTACTTTGGGGTTTTTAAGGGCGCTGATTACTATTTTGGTAGTATTTTTTCAAAATTCAAAATGGCGAATACAATATGGCGGTAAAATTTTTCAAAAATCAATCAAAATCGATTTAAAAATCTTCACTGTAGCATTTTTCGGGGTTGCTGTTTATAAAAATAGAAATATAATATTCAATTAACATTATAAATATAACATATATATATATATATATATATATATATATATATATATATATTAAAAAAAATATATATATATATATATATATATATATATTAAAAATTAAGTGAATATTAAATTTAGATTTCATAAATTAATAAATTTTTAATATAAGAGGAAAAAAATTATGTTAAGAAATAACTTAAATGTTAAAAGGATTCAATAAAAGAGTAAGAAAATATAAATTGAAATTAGAATAAAATATAGTAAATTGAGAATTTTGAAAATTAGATATTATAAATTGAAATTAGAATAAAATGTAGTAAATTGAGAATTTTGAAAATTAGATATTATAAATTGAAATTAGAATAAAATATAGTAAATTGAGAATTTTGAAAATTAGATATTATAAATTGAAATTAGAATAAAATATAGTAAATTGAGAATTTTGAAAATTAGATATTATAAATTGAAATTAGAATAAAATATAGTAAATTGAGAATTTTGAAAATTAGATATTATAAATTGAAATTAGAATAAAATATAGTAAATTGAGAATTTTGAAAATTAGATATTATAAATTGAAATTAGAATAAAATATAGTAAATTGAGAATTTTGAAAATGTTAAAAAAATGTAAAAAATGTAAAAAATGTAAAAAAATGTAACTTTTTTTGAAAATTTGTAAAAATTACATCAATAGAATTAGAATAAATCCTTATTTATAAGGGGGGTAAGGGGAGTTGAGTTCTTTATTTATTTGTTTAATAAATTAATTTAATTTTATAATTTTTTATTATACGAATTATATGATTATTCTTATTATGTTGATTAATGAAAACTTTGTTTTCCATATGAATATGAAAATTTTAATTTGTATAGGCAAAAGAAAGGATTTTTAAAAATTAAGTGAATATTAAATTTAGATTTCATAAATTAATAAATTTTTAATATAAGAGGAAAAAAATTATGTTAAGAAATAACTTAAATATTAAAAGGATTCAATAAAAGAGTAAGAAAATATATATATATATATATATATATAAAATAGAAATTAATTTTAATCTAAAATTTTTACAGAAGGAAAAAAATAATATTGATAAAATAAAAAATTTAACCGCCGAATACGCATACAATGTAACAATAAAAAATGTTGCTTTTATCAAAATTTTTCATTCCAATGTTTTGTGTGGTGCATTTAATAAAATTTCACTAATCACAAAACTTTTTCAATCACTTGGAAAGCATATTTCCACATCGTTAATGGTGAATAATTATTTTAAAAATACATTCGAGGCAACGTCTTTGTCGGAAGCTGAATATTATTTGGAAAATGTGAAAGAAGAATTTTTTGATTTTATCACTACCACAGAGAATGAAAATTTTACCAATTGCAAGGAAAATAATAATAATCAAGATGAAATTATTATCCATCAACAAAACTGTGATATTAATGTGAAATTTTCTCATTTATTAGTAAATTGTTTTTTAAAAATTAATTCTATTATTTGTGAATTAAAAAAAAATTTGTCAATTAATGAAAATAATTTACATATTGAAAGTTTATTAATGGCAATCAATTCACGTTTTATGAATGAATTATATAATTCTTTGCAAATTATTTATGAAAAAAATTTTCAAATCACTGAAAATGATTTGAATTTATTTAAATTTATTGAAAAAAATTTGCAATATTTGGAAAATGTTTTGACACAGAAAGAAAACGTAAGAATATAATTAATTTTAAATAATAATAATAATTTTAATTATTAACAAAGTAAATAAAATTTTTTCTTTTCAGCTATCTGAGAATAAAAATAATTTTCAAAATGAAAATTTCTCATTTTCACCAAAATTTTTAGTATCCAACGAAAAAGAGGTAAAAAAAAATTATAAACTTTATTTTTATCATATTAATTAATTAATTAATTTTTAATTAATATTATTTACAGAATGAAATAATACAAAGTCCAATAAAAAATATCATTGAAATAAGTAAAACAATTAAAGAAAGTTCACGACTTATTTATAATTTATTGATACAATTACAAAATACTATTAATTATTCAAAAATTCATAACAATAATAATTATTTGCAATTAACATTAGCAAATATTGAATTTTTTTTGAAATCAACAAAAAATTTTGTTCAAATATTAGAAAAATCACCAATGGAATTAAATTTAATTATAAAATACGAAAGGAAAATAGAAAATGAATTTTTAAAAATTACAGAAAATTATAATAATTATATGGAAAATTTTGCTAATTATAATAATAATAATAATAATAATGATAACAAAGAAATAAAACTCACTGTCAAAGAAGATGAAATGCTTCAATTATTAAAGAATTTATCATTATTTATGAAAAAAATCAGTGAAATTATTAAAAGAATTATCAAAACTTCAATGTCATTGAAAAAACCAACTTATGATTTTTCAAATGAAAGTATCAAAAGATTTGGTATTTTTATTAATAATTCAACAAATGAATTAGTAAATATTTTTGAATTTGAGAAAGAAAGAAATTTGACAAATTTCAATGAAATTAATGATAAGGTGAAAAATCTTGTTTCAATTGCATTTGAATTTATTGAAACGGTAAGTTATTGCTAAATTTTTTTTTTAATTTTTCCACTCTTTTTCTTTGAAAATTATAAGCGGTATTTGAAATTTTTTTCACTATGTTATTATTTAATGACTAAAGTAAATGCCACTACTAATTTTTTCTTAAATTTATAAAAAAAAAAATTTTGTTAAATTTCTATATTATCGACCGACGATAATAATGAAGATTTTCTTCTTATTTTCACCTACTAAAAGCCAATAATAAATTATTTTGTCAATTTGACTTTAAAAACTAGTTAGATTTTTTCTGTATTACCGACAGACGATAATAAAAATTCCATTTTTTACCATCTCTTCCAAAATTTTTTTAAAATTTGCCAAGAAAATTTGTAGTAAGAATTCTGAATTACCGACAGACGTTAATAAAAAAAAAAATTCCCTTTTATCTTCACCTACAAAAAAGACCCTAATAAATTTTGTTTGTCAATTTTACTATACAAACTTTAGTTAGATTTCTAAATTACCGACTGACAATAGTAGAGATTTCTGTATTACCGATTAATGATAATAAATATTTCTGTATTACCGACTGGTGATAATAAAGATTTCTATATTATCGACAGACGATAATAAAAATTCTTCTTTTTTTCTATCTTTTTCAGGAGGATCGAAGAAGAAATCTCTACGAAAGTAGAATTCCCATTGGTCAATATACATTAAATATTGTCAATTATACAAATTATCTTAGTGAAAATTTATACATCAACAGTCATTGCAGAACGTTTAATAATAATTTAGAATTAAAAAAATTGGCTCACTTTACAATTGATAATATAAAAATATTAATTTTAATGATTAACAATTATCAATTAACATTGTTAACTGATTCGGTGAAAAAAGCTCAACATATTGGTGAAATTGCAAAAAATCTTGAACTCTCATTGAAGCCAAGAAAAAATTATCAAGAAGAATTAAATTTTTGCAATACCTCAATAATTATTGACAATGATTTAATATCAAAAAATAATACTCAAATTCAATTTTTCCATGATATTACAAATATTTTGTGTAAAGCCAATAATATTATTGAAAAAACAAAAAATAATGTTGAAAACTATTTGGGAATGTCCAATGATATTCTTTATTTTGAAAGTCTCACAATGTCAACGCTCTCTTTTCTATTAAGTGAATTTCGATTTAATCTCGAAAATCTTGAAGCAAAGAAATTTGAAATTTTTGAAAATGATCGAAAAAATGTGAAATTATTAAATGAAATTTTGCAAAAAATTGCCGAATAATTTTTTTTTAATTATTTTTTTTATTTATATTATTATAATTATAACATTTTAGTAAAAAAAATTATTTAGAAAAAAATAATTTTCCGAAAGAAAAATAATAATTAATTAATTAACTAATTTTTTAATTAAGAGAATTAAAAGTCAACATTTAAGAAATATTAAAATGTAAAATTTTATTTTATGTATTTTTTGTTACAATAAACAATCACTATATACAATAATACATACGATAAGTACTTTTCAAGCCTTATTTCAATATTCATTCATTTACAATATTTACAAAATATACAAAATGTTACGAGAAAATAGATATTATTTTTTAAATATACAAAAACTTTTTTTTAAAAAAAGTTACAATACTGTATGTATTAAAAAAAAAGACAATCTTTCTTTTTTTCGTGCTAAAATTACAAAAATGTCTATATTACCGACAGACGGTAATAAAGGATTCCTTTTTTTAAAATTAAAATTACAAAATTTTAGTTAGATTTCTACATTACCGACATGAGGATAGTTGAGAATTCTGTATTACCGACTGGTGATAATAAAGATTTCTGTATTACCGACTGATGACAATAAAGAATTCTGTATTATCGACTGATGTCAATAAAGATTTCTATATTATCGACTAATAATAAAGGTTCCTTTATTACCGTCAGGAGAAATCTTCACGTATGTTGAGTCACTTTGTTGTAAAAATTACAAAATAGAATTTTTTTTTTATAAATACTACAAAAACTTTTGTTTTTTTTTTAAATTTTGTTATAAATAATTTTTTTTTCACGCAACAGCCACAGAATCGACTGATTTCAATCCATGGAACATACTGTAATCGACGTATTGATGATGATTTGCCTCAAGATTGACTGGTGGCCTTGATAATTTACTGGGAGCCGCTAATAATCGACTCCATGCTCTACATGTTTTTCCTGACCAAACCCACATACCGGCAGTGACGCCAATTACCAATGACAAAAAAAGCCTCAATAATGCAACTTCAAGTCCAGCTGCCGAATAAATTGGACCGTGATCACAATTTTGTGCATTTATACAATTATATGCGGCTAAAAATGCAAATTCACGCCACAATGGTTTAATACGTGATTCATAAATTGTACAAGCCAATGAACCAAGTGCTGGTAATGCATAGAGTAATGCAAATATTCCCAGTCTTGTCATTAGTCGTTCTAGCTTTGTTGCACTACGACCAGCTGATCGTACGGCTCGTCTTACACGAACGAGTGCGCCACCAGCTAGACATGCAAAAATACAACCTAAAAATAGAAGTATTGCATGTGGAAATACTTCGAGCCAGATGGCAGATTCGTCGGCAATTTGACAGAGGCCCGTTAATTCGTCTGCTACGACACTTTTTGCAATGAGTGAACCTGAAAATGAATTTAAAATTTTGAAAATTAGCTATTCATTTAAGTGACTAATTTAGTGTATTATTTATTTTATTTTTTTTTTGGTAGTAAAGAATTTTTATTATTCAGATAACTTCAATGACTATATAATCCGTTAAAAAAAACATTTAGAAAACAGCACGTGACATTTTCATAACAGATTTTTTTTTTTTTATAGATATGACTTCAAAAAAGTTTCATCTCTCGAAAAATGGGAAAACAGTGAAGCCGGAATAAGTTTCATAAAGGAAACAAAGAATTCTTATTATTCAGATAACTTCCAGAAGCTAAAATCCGTTAAAAATTACGAATTTTACAATTGGGAATCTTGCAGGTAAGAATCTACAACTCGTTGAAAAATAAGAAAGCAGAGAAGCATCTCAATGTTTCATAAACGAAATAAAGGATTTTTATTATTCAAATAAATTCAAAATTTACAATCCGTTAAAAATGGGGAAATAGTGAAATAAGAGAATGTTTTATAAATAATTTTTATTATTTAGATAATTTCAAAAGCATCAATTCCTTAAACTTAAGGAAATGCTTAATAAGTAAATGCTTCAAATAAGGAATTCTTATGATTCAGATAATTTCAAAATCAGCAATTCCTTAAAAATAAGGAAACAGTTGATCAAGAAACTGCTTCATAAACAAAATAGAGAATTCTTATTATTCAGATAACTTCAATAGCATCAATCCCTATAAAATAGTGAAACAGTGAAGCGGAAGAATGTTTCATAAATAATTTCAGAAGCATAAATCCTAGGGAAACAGTAAAAGAACAAAAGGTTTTATAAAATGAAATAAAGAATTTTTATTATTTAGATAACTTCAAAATCTTCAATCCGTTAAAAATGGGAAAATAGTAAAGCAGGAGAATGTTTCATAAATAATTTTTATTAATCAGATAATTTCAAAAGCATCAATTCCTTAAACTTAAGGAAATGCTTAATAAGAAAATGCTTCATAAGCAAAATAAGGAATTCTTATGATTCAGATAATTTTAAAATCAGCAATTCTCTAAAAATAAGGAAACAGTGGATCAAGAAAATGCTTCATAAACAAAATAGAGAATTCTTATTATTCAGATAACTTCAAAAGCATCAATCCGTTAAAAATAGAGAAACAGTGAAGCAGGAGAATGTTTCATAATTAATTTTTATAATCCTAAAAAATTTGAAAGAATCAGTTCCTTAGAAATGACGAAACAAGTGAAGAAAAAAAAATGCTTCATAAACGAAATAAAGAATTCTTATTATTCAGATAACTTTAAAATTATCAATCCTTTAAAAATTTGAAAACAGTCACACTATGACTGAACGAAAAAAAAATTTGAAGTAAATATCCGTTAAGATCAAAATGCTACCTGCTTCATTTTTTTGAGATATCAGTAATTCTGTTTAATGTATTATGCAAATATTTACAAAACATTCAGTTTGAAGCAAAAAATTAATTTGATTAAAAAAATATGAAAGAATAGAAAAAAATCTATTGTACTTTAAAGTCAATTTTCTTCTGCACGTCTGAATAGTTACAATACTAATTTATGATATATTTCTAAAGACACTTCTTTTGTCTTTTGTAATAATTACCAGTAGTGAGAAGAATTGGCAGGCCCCAGGCGACGGCGTGCAAATAAGTTGCAATATTGTGTAAAGCTTCACTGCTCCATTCATGTTTTGCACTTAGAAACCAACAACCGCAGAGAATCATCCACCAGACGCTGCTTACTAATCCAAAATAATATCTCGCGAACCACCAAATTGTGCAAGGAATACTTCTTAGACCATCGTGTACCTGTTAATGAAAAATTTTACATCAGCGAAATTAAAAAACATTTCTGAAAAATCTGTCGAAAACTATTTCTAAAATCCGTTCGAAAGCATTTCTAAAATCCGTAGAAAAAAAACATTTCATTAACTTACTGGTACATAAGATGGCCCATCATGTTGATTGGCACAGCTCAAATTTTCAGAACCAACAGCCCCTCGAATGATGAAAGCGACCGATAGTAAATTATAACACAAAGCAAGAAAGACAATTGGCCTTTCAGGATAACGAAATCGAGAGGGATCCACCCAGAATGTGAGAAGAGTAAAAAGCGTCGAGAGAAAACAAAGCCATGCCCATCCAATCATCCAACGTTCTGTGAATCTTTTGTCCTCTGTCCGATAATAAGCGTCTGCACCACACTTTGGAATACACGTTATCTACAAGTAAAAAAAAAAAGAAAATTAAAATTTTTTTTCCCCCGAAGATAAGATCACAAAAAAAATTGTCCAACTAACGTTATGAATATCCGGTGCTTGAATAAAATGTTTTGGACATTGATTATGGTGATTGGTTGCAGCAGGTAGCTGAGTTGGTTGCAATGATTGAGCAGGCCATTGCTGCTGTATTGCTGGCGAAACAACTTGCGATAGGGTTTCCGATAGAGTTGCTTCTTCCTGTGGCGGTTGCACGCAAAGAGTATTTCCTGAAACAAAAAGAATTTCCTCATGATTTTCTCCACAAGATCAGATAAACATTTTTATTTAAAAAAAAAAAAAAAAAATCATTGGTCAACCTACCACTGAATTTTGATTCTGGGAAACGATCACAGTCAAGTATATTTAACCAAGGAAGATTGAATCTCGATAATACTGGCTCACAAGCACGTCTCACCGACAAGCACAATGGTTTACATGGTGGAATAGCCATATTTTCCGAACATACAGGTGCAAAAACAGCGCAAAAAAATATCATCAAATGTCGTGAACAATTATTATGCACCAATGGCATAAATTGTTGAAGCTGAAACAGAAAAAAGAAACACTAATTAAAATCTCCTAAAAAAAAAATCGGAAAATAACAAAAAAAATATATTTCTCAAACCCCACTATTGGAGAAATCATGGCTAATGGGCCTTCATTATATTCGCATTGAGGCGCAAAAGATTTTTGATGTTTTGAAATTCAGATCTCTTGGATGAGGATCATGAAAAGAAGAAAAAGAAACGATGGAAGGCGTCGGAGGCGGAAAAAGAAAAAAGACGACATAGTGAGATGGAAAGAGAGAGAGAGAGAGAGGAGAGACTTGAGATATAACGAGCGGCGTGCATCGCGGGTAATTATCCCGCCCATTCTTCCCGCCTCTCTCGACGGACCAGTGCTTTCGGTGGGCCTTAGATTCGCCCATTACAGTTCAGTCCGCGTTTCTTCGCATCTCTCTCTCCCTTGGACCCATTCGCCCAAATTATAGTTCCCATGAAATTACGTGGTAACCCATCTTATGGCGCGCGGGTAACACTCCAGGCCCCCTGGCAGCATCTTCTTATACACGTGCACGCATATTCCTCTAGCCAACCAGTATATACACGTATATAAATATATATATATATATATTTATACATTCACAATGTATCCTCAAGGCATCAAATTCACAAGGGAAACCAGTCTACGGGTATGCTATACAATTTTGGATTTTCAGACAACAACATTTTAACGCTAAATACAGATATCTAATCTGTTTAGGATTTTTTATCTGTATTTGGAAATTTTTTTTGGGAGTGGAAATAAAGGATTTTTATTATTCAGATAACTTCGAAATTATCTTCAATCCCTGGAATCGTATTTCTATGGATTGGTAAACTTTTTGTTTAAGTGGTAATAAAGAATTTTTATTATTCAGATAACTTCAAAATTCATCAATCCCTGAAATCGAAGGGATAAAGTAATGCAGGAAAATACTTCATAAACAAGATAAATAATTTTTACTATTTCGATAACTTCAAAATTCATCAAACCCTTGAATCGTATTTATCAGTATTAGGAGACTTTTTTTTTAGTGGTAATAAAGAATTTTTATTATTCAGATAACTTCAAATTTTATCAATCCCTGCGGAATTGAAGAGGCACAATGACGTGCGGGAGAATACATTAGAAATAAAAAAGAATAATTTTTTTATTCAGTAAACTTCAAAAACATCAATCACTTAAAAATAGGGAGCCAGTAAAGCAGCATAATACTCCAATTATGTTCTTAAACCGTTTTTAGAATTGCATGTCTGCTAAAATAACATTCTATGGATGTTTCATGTTCCGAAAACGTTTGGCGAACAAAAAACATTTTCAGAACGTTATTTAGGCGGACATTAAATTTCTAAGAACGTTTATGGAGGAGAGTACGTTTTGTGCCCACTAGAAGTGAAGAAGGAGAATATTTCATAAACAAAATAAAGAATTTTTTATTAATTAGATAACTTCAAAAGGATCAATTCCTTAAAAATGGAGAAACAGAGATGCAGGAGAATGCTTCGTAAATTAAATATTTTTTTTATTCAGATAACTTCAATTACTTGAAAAATAGTGTCACATGGAGGGATTAAAATTTTTCAGAAATAAAGAATTCTTATTATTCAAATAGCTTCAATTTAATTAAAAAACTTCGTATTTAGTATAAACGTAGTTTTTGCTGGTAGTATAGAAGTATTTTTTGCATGTATAGTAGAATTAGTTTTTGCATATAGTAAAATTAGTTTTCGCATCTATTAGAATTAGTTTTTTTCGCATTTATCATTCCAATGGAAAAAGATACAAATTGTCTGGCATAATTCAAAAAAAAATTTCTGAATTTCTGTCACCAATTTGCTTTAAGAGTAGAAAGGCATCTATTGAGATTTACGAATTAAATCGTTATTCCCATTTAGGGCGACCTTCCCACTCGATAAAGTAATTCTTCTTTGTATTATAACAATATATAGATTCAGATCAAAGAAATTCTATTTTCAAAAGTATCCCCTTATATTCGCACGAGTCATCATCGCTTGTATGGGAGGTCTTCGTCTTCTTTTATCTAAAATTTCTAATCCGGAAGTACTTAAATTTTCCCCCAATTTGGAAAATTCTTTTCCCTAGATTCAAATACGATTTTCTTTCAAATTAATTCAATGGTTTCGACTTTTAATTAATTTGCAAAAAAAAATTTAGCATTTTTTTGTTACAATACCAAAATGATAATTCCCTGTGGAAAATGTGAACAATAAGTGACAATTGACGTGCGGGATACACGACCTTAAAACTTCGTGGAAAAAAGCGAAACGATGGGGGAATAATGGAGCAAGTAGAATTCGAAAAGAATATAAGGGAACGAAGAAGGAAGAAAAAAAAGAGTTACAATAAAAACAGTAAGGGAAGCCGCCAAGGAAGAAACAGCAGCAGCAGCAGCAGAAGAAGAAGAATAAATGTGAAAAAGGATAAGTTCGACTGAGAAATCGTGGAGCAAAAGACGGACGTCTTGTTGTCTCCAAGCTTACTTGTCTGTCAGCTGCTTTAAAATGCCGTTCTACAGGCTTCTTCGGCTACTCTCCTTTTTTTTCTCTCTTTCTCTCACTCATTCTTTCTCTTTTCATCTTCCGGCCTTGTCTACGCAGCGGCTCTTTTTCCCCACGTTCGCGGTCCGCCAAAGCCCGTGACGGAAAAAACGCGAAATAACGAACGGAAGACCTCTCAAGCGAGCCATTTTGCTTCTCTCTTTCTTACTCTCGATTGAAAATTATCCCTCTCTTATACACAAGGAACCTCTTCCTTCAACTTCTTTCTTTTCTTCCCCTCATTCTCTCAAATACTCGTATACATTTCGTATATATACATTTATATACACGCACGCATCGTGAAATCTACTCTGATCCTCCATCGATGTCCAGGAGACATCACTCAGTCCCTTGTCCACTTTTTTTTTAACCCATGCGACTTTGCGAACGCCCTTGCACTCTTTTTAAAACTCCTTCTGCTTGTTCTTCATCGTGGGATTCGACCTTCCTTTGGATATATCGTAAATGTTCACATATAATCAGTGCAAAAAGAGATGAAAACAAAATTTTGTCGGAAGAAAGAAAAGGAGGATTGTCAAACAAGAACAGTGTTCAACGGAAGTTTAATATTTTCTGCTTAGACAACGATCAAGGTAAATTTTTAATTCTACATGGTTTTTAATTTTTGATACAAAATTTTTGCTACTTTACAAATTAATAAAATTAATAAAAGTATAACTAAATTATAAAAAAAAGTAAATATTTACAGACTAACTGTACAAAGTGAAAATTTTTATTCTTTAGTGAATGATCCTCCAAATTTCTGACTCTATATAAAATTAATTTTCAAAATTTCGGTCCCAATTTACTAATTGACCCTATCGCAATTGATTGTAATTAAACAATTTAATTTCCTTGAAAAATTGGAAAATTTTTGAAAAGAAATAAAGAATTTTCATTATTTAGATAACTTTAAAAATTTGAATCCTTTGAAAAAATTGATACAACGAAATTTCTTCTATATGAAATAAAGAATTTTTATTATTCAGATAACTTCCAAAAACTAAAATCCGTTAAAAATTACGAATCATTAGGAATCCTTTAGGTAGGAATCGTACCCAAATACAAATCTTCCAGTCATAAATACGAAATGAAGAATTCATATTATTTAAAGAACTTCGAAACAATCGATCCCAAAAAATAGGGAAACAGTGATAATATTTCATACAATTACAAAACATCCGGATATATCCAGAATCTGCAATGGACGTTCTGGGATTTAGTAATTTCTGGTTACTTCTAGGACGTCCGTAAAATATTCTGAAATATCCATTGCTGTAAGCGTAGACAAAACCAAAGAATTCTTATTATTTAGATAACTTCAAAAATCTATAATCCGTTAAAAATTACAAATCTTACAATTACAAATTCTGCAGGTAGGAAACGTACTAAATACAAATCTTTTAGTTACAAGTCTAACAATTACGAATTTATTAAGTAAAAAACTTGCAGTCACAAATCTACTAATTTCGAATCTTCAAGGTAAGAATTATAATATAAATTTTGGAATTACGAATCTTGCAGTTTAGAACCTTATCAATTAGAAATTTTTAAATTACCAATCTTGCAATTTAAAATCATTTCAAATAAAAATTTTGCAGTTACGAATCTTAACAATTTTGAATTTTGAAAATACCAAAGTTGCAGTTATAAAACCAGCGAATAAGGATCATCAAGGTATGAATCATAGTAAATACAAATCATGAAATTATGATTCTTGCAGATGGGAATCATACCAAATCTTTCAGTTACAAAAGCGAAATAAAGAATTCTTATTATTCAGATAACTTCAACTGACTTTGCACGTAGCATGTAGTGTAAATGTGGTTTTGCATATTGTTAAAATTATTTAAAAAATCTCCAATTGTTCAAGTCTGAACCTATTAAATATTTAGATACAGAAAAATTAGAACTTACTAGGTGTATATTATTTGTACGTAGACAATTCAAATTAATCTGATGACATTCTTTCTTCAAAAAAATTAAAACAAAATTTCTTCTTATTCGACTAACTTTAAAAATTCTATTTCCCTTAATTAAAAATCATCCGGCTACAAATATTAATATTTAAACAAAAAAAGATATTAATATACAGATTATAGGGAAAAAAAAACATCAAAAAGAATTGTGTGAAATGAGAAGAGGGAAGACTATGGTGTGGCGCAGAGGGTCGAAGACGTAGATTATGAACACAGATACACTGTAATTTCAAGCCTTCCGGGAAGAATGGACGGGATTTTATAATTGACAGCAACGTCTGTGTTTTGCCTTCTTGAAAGAAGCTCGCACAAGATGGAGGTGGATGATGGTTACAAAGTTAAAAATTGTACTGTTTGCCGAACCCTAAAAGAAGGATAGTCTCTCTCTCTCTCTCTCTCTCTCTCTCTCTGGGCTGTAATTGACGTTCATTGCGCAACCAAAAAGTTTTTTGACCGGATGTTGA